CAGCGCATTTGCAGTGCTGCAAGGAGCACTTGCAAATTTCAATGGGAAGATATGCACCACCCCCCCCCCCTCTCAAAAAACAAGAGAACACATAGGTGCATTGCAACGTGACGTATGAGGGGGTAGGGCCAGGCTTTAGGGCGCTTAGTGCGGCTAGATGCCTCATCAAGAATGCCCCCAACCCATGTAGCTGGTACTTGAGGCCAAACGCCTGGTGGGACTCTACTACAACGTTAGCTCGCGAGATGACTTTTGCGATTATGGTATTTGGGCCCTAAAGCCGTGTTATTTGGGTCCTTGGACCCTTAGGGTCAAGACCCATAAGAATAGGGTTATCATTAATACTAGTATTACTCTTATTCCTATTATTACTATTATTTCATTATTATTATTACTCTTATAGTCACTATTACTATTACTATTACTATTACTATTACTAGGTTCCGTTAGAGCTTCCTTGGAGCCTTAGATTCAGGCCCTTAGTATACGGTTTGGGGCTTCAGGATTTAGGGCTACAACATACAGGCGCCGGGATCATTTGTGTTCGAACCCAGGGTCATAGAGTTCGGGCGCGTCCTGCGGGATCTTCGAAAAACTTAAAGCTCTAGACCCGTATGATCCCCTTACAACCTCCTCACGTATATATGATATGTGTGTATCTACACATACTTTTATATATTAAGTGTGCCCCAGGAGTCTCTAAGGTACCTCCCGTATCAGAAGCCCCCAAGTCTGCTCTAGGAGGCAGAAAGGCTAGGGTACCTTTTTGGGGTCCCCAAAATAAGGACTATAGTATTTTTGGGTCTATATTGGGGTCCTCCTAGTTTGGGAACCTACCATCTTAGCTACTGTGCGGGGGCTTGGAGAGAGGAATGCCATACTAGGAGTGACCACTGCCCTGCACTGCACACGTGCTTTGCACAATTTGCCCCCCAAGGTCTATCGTCCAGGTTTAGGCTTACCACAGTCATGAAATTTTATGAAGTCGTAGTGGCTTTAAGCTACTTCAAGAATGAACGCGCGCACAACCTTTCTTCCATTCACGGCTGGTCATGGAGCCCATGTGTCACTGGCGGAGGCAACTAAACCAACGGAAACCCTTGCCACAGGAACTTATGAAAAGTTTTGAGTAGCATTGAAAGGCAAGGATGAAAGCTCTTTTCTAGAAACCCGTGCGGTACGACCAGTCAGGACCTTGAGAAGTGATCAAAGAGTCCCAGTACAAGCCCTAAAGCAACTTCACATCGAATCTCTCTCGGATGCAAAGTATATATATATATACATATGTGTGAAATAATCCCCTGGATATGTGTGTATGTATATATACATATATATAGGTTGGCGAATGTGTAAACATATACATATGCTGCTACCTGGATTTCTTTGGGGGGTTGAGACTGCCAGATAAGCGCCCAGCTTAGGCTCCTGACGAGGGACGGACGCGACCGCGGTGGACCATTCGATCAACTGTGACGGAGCCACTGTTGAGTATGTTGGGTTATATAGGGGATATATAGGGTTATATAATATATAGGAGGTTATATTGGGCTTATATATTATATCGGGGTTATATTGGTAATAGTAGGGGTTTTTCATTGTCTGAACACGCGGACGGTGTTCCACGATCTTTGTAGTGACCCCTTAACCCTAAACCCTCCAAACTGTGCTCCAACTGGCTGAGGTGAGAGGGCTTGATTTCGGTCCCATCTCAAGTATGCCGTACTCAGAAACTGGGCGTGCATGGTTTAGTGCTTGTTGATTAGGCTGTACATTTTGGAAATGTAGCTAAGCTCGTATTGGGTTTCATAGGGATTCTAATCTCCTCCCCCAAACAGGTTTGGTGCTTGAGGTGCACGATGGACAGCCGGCTGAGATCTAAGATCAAGACGTTAAGGCCGGAAATCAAGAATTATGAGAGGAGATGTGCATGGATACGCAATCGCTTTCTATGGGTCACCCAAAGCCATAAAGTCACCTAGGCTCCACGGAGACAACCTTGGAACCTTTTTGCGTTTTTTTTTGCATTTGGTTTATTTAGGGCTCCATGTAGTCAATATTCATAGGATTTAGGGGCCCAATATAGGTATTAGTTATAGACTTAGAGCCCAAGGGAAACCGTTTTGCTGATGACGTAGGGCCTTAGGGCTCACGACTTCGGCCACTACCTTAGAGAGGTTCACGGGCCTACATCCAAACATAGGCGTTCCCCTTTATGACCTCAAATCTTTGTAGCCCATTTTGGCAGCCACGCCCATCAAGGGTTCATGCTCGTGAAACTTGAGAAGTTAAAATCCCTAAGCCCTAAACCCTAAACCCTAATCTATCTTCAGAAGCTCCCATGAGACTTCCGCAAAGTGGTTGGATTGGTCAATCCCCTCTTAGTAAGCTCTCGGCTTTGATGTTTCCTGCACAGTTCCTTTTCTGGTCTAGAATGAAATGTACTTGTGGTAGATAGTCAGATTGTGCAACCTCATGGCACAAGGGTTGGACCCAAAAGTAGATGTACATATGTATGTATCCATGTGTATATATATGTATATGTGTAAAGGCTTTTGTGTCTTTCTCTGGTGGGGCCATGAATTCAACTACTGAGGTCCAGGGAAACCCCAAGCCCTGAGCCCAAAATTCCTGCAGTCTGCAAGCCCTAAACCTTAAACCCTACACCCCAGACCCTAAAGTGGGTAAGGACGAGTCGGACTCCAGCGACGAATTGATGAGAGAGAGCTTCCAGATGAATTCCGAGAAAGAAGACATGGTCTGAGGCCACGCGATTTAAGGCTTAGGGTTTACCTGGATCCCCAAAGTACCCTAGAAGCCCAGTTACCTATACATTGGGTCCCTGTCCTTAAGTCCCTATATAATTTTTTACTATCTGGAACCCAAGGACCTATTATATGGGTACCTGGGCTTCTAGGGGTAGGTAAAATAAAGTGGTCCGAAATTCCATTACAGGCCATCGCTCTACATACTTTCCTTTCGGACTATTTTAAGGGGTTTGGGGCTATTAGTTTGCCTACTTTTTGGGCTGGGGGTTTAGCTAGGGTTTAGATTAAGGTGTCCCGAAGAGTGAAGCTGGGCTCCAATTTCTTACCACCGGTTATAGTCCCCCTCAAGTAGATGGAATATTATGGGATAAATGGGGGTCTTAAAGGGGACTATAGCAGGAAATGAAGGAGTGCAGAAGAAAATGGAAACTATCATGGGGGTTTCTCAAGATTAGGGGATTTTTTTGGGGGGGTGTCTCTAGTAAGGACAATAGTATTTTGGGATCTATATTTGGGCCCCCTTGTTAAAGGAACGAAACATATCAGTGGCGATGCGCTGGCCAGAGGCAAGTTTATTCCAAATTAGGGATCCCGTTTTGGGAGTTCGTCTAGACTGGGGACTACAGGATCTTTGTTGGGGGCTTCAAACAGACCCAGTACAGTCCCCAACAGAGTCGTTTGAATGTTCTTTTCCCTTCCACCAAAGGGTCCATGTAGGAGTATTTTAGTATAGACTTAGGGCCCATACGGTTTCCCATATACTTGCTTTGGCGCCCAACTATATACAACATAGTATATAGCTACATGAACCCTTTGGGCTCCTTTTTCTCGACTGACAACCCCCAAGTTTCGAGACGATTTTGGTTGTTACGGAGCAGTGTTGAAATCTGTACTGAGGAATTGTCGGGCCCTTTGTTACCCAAGAGTGAAGGAGCGCCTACGTAATTATTGTTCAGACTTACTATTTTTTCGGTACTGGGTTATAGTATACAGTATGCAACCCCAAAAGGAACTACATAGGAGGCTCTGGATAAGCTTATCAGCACCCAGCGCCTCTAGTATATACCGGATACCGAAAGGCAAATTAATCACTGCCCATGTGCGAATGCTAAGGACCAAGATCACTCTAGCACGTTTGCCGCTAACCAGCAATGGTTGGTCTGTGAACAAACCTGCCAGTAGCCTAGATTCTTGCAGCCCCGCAGCACAGATGGTTATGGTCTTGGCCTTCAGTTTGCCACCACGATCTTCCTCAACATATTTGCTATAGAGCCCTAGATAGGGGCCCCCGCAATCTCTATGTAATCCTTGTGCACTCTCTGTCTCCCCCTCTCTCTCTCTATATATATATATAATATCATATTATATTATGTATATATATATACATGTATATGCTATATATATATATATATGTATGCACCCTCGCGTCCCTACGGGCCCTGTTGGGAAGCTCTTATGTGCTGGATACCCAGTATCCGCCATTCATGAGTAAAGTCCTTCGAGCAGGAGCGGCTACGAATCCCAATCTTCTTCAACACATCCTACAATCGGGAGCTACTACTCGTTTACTGTAGAAGCTTGAATGATACCAACGCCTGTTCCATGTACTAACCTTCATGGTTCGCCCTCGTGCCCCCAAACAATTCGTACCCCAGACTCACCTACCCGACAGTCTATTGGTGTCCTAGACATGAAGGCGGTCGGTTCTTAGGATTTACCACCCATTTTCTTCTGTGCTGGGGCTGCTAGGTGAGTTAATGCCGAAGGATGCAGGGTGTCCCTCTCAGAGGCCTTGCTCATACCACAGGGCTCCCAGGAGGGCCATTGAGAAGCATAACGGTTCAGATGCAAAATTCCCCAAAGAATAGGCACTTATGGGTTGAGGCTGAACTCGGGCCTGTTTGGAAAGTTACACATTGGAACCCTCCTTTGCGACCTTGTGACGACACCCTGGAAGGCTTTGTTCTGAAAGCACATCATTATGCCAACCTTGCATCACCAACAAACAAGAGCCCCGTCGTGGTAGTAGTTCCCAAGCAGCCCTACAATTTTCAGTAATCTTTCTTTCAAATTGAATTGCCAGCAACTCCAACCAGTTCTCATCTTGGCAAGAGCGCTTCCAGGAATAGCCAGGACTTATAACAGCTTCAGCGTCTGCCGGATCAGGGCCAAGCTCTCTCCGACAAGCGCCGAGTTTTTCCTCAGCGTTCCAGCTCTCTTTCTATTATTTGCTTTGGCAGTTGCTGTTGTAGAACTACCGCAAGGTATCTTCACCCGGGGTGTCCCATACCTGCTCCACTTGTCATCTTGATTACGCAAGAGCACTTGGTGTTGTCGTTTTTTTAGACCGCTGGGACCTTCTTCACGCCTGCATAGCACTTGCGGGTTCAGCTTGAGACCGGCGTTCCCACACAGTATGCAGGTGTTTTGACATGCTTCCTGCACTTGCGCCAGTTGAACTGAAGCATGAGGTTGCACACTGTTTGCGTAATTATGCTTAATTGTAATGAGACTCATAGCACAATGACTACATAATGTGATTTTACGATCACTAGCAGCCACCGCCACGGCCACTGCGCTACTGCTGTTCCTACCACTATTATTACACTCTCTGCTGCTACTGCTACTGCTGCTCCTACTGCTAGTACTGCTACTTCTTCTGCAACTGCGACTGCTACTGCTAGTATGGCTACTACTTCTACGACTGCTAGTATCGCGAGTACTGCTACAGCTGCTGCTACTTCTGCCACTACCATAACCGCTACATTGCTAGGACGACAGCTCACACTACTGACATCTACCGTGATTAGCAGGGTGGTAGTAGAGCACTTGGTCGGTGCAGCCAAGCAGGTAGCTTTGTGATGCTGTGAAGGCAGCATTGTGAGCTTTATTTGTTGCTGAGTCGCCGAAGCTGCGACACCATAGACATGCCAGCACGGAACATTATCATTTTGCGGAGAAACATTCGCTGGCTGCGCATGCTTGTGCTTGCATGGCTTCGCTCAGCGCCCCCATGCCTATCTAGGTGACAACTTGGGATGATTAAGAGTCCCCCCCTATTGCTGTACCAGGGAACCTATCCATGAATAACTTTTGAGGCTTTACAATGTTAAGAGCCAAGAATAGCTTGATAGGGTTGCTGTTAGGGAACCTAATGTAAGTTACTATGTCGGGGGGACCGTGCTATTTACTTTATATACCCATTATAGCAACCCAGTTGATGGCTGCAGTACAGCAGATCTTGACCTCCTGGCCCTCTAAAGGTAGGTAGGCGCCTGGGTTTCAGGCTTATGCGAGTGAGGCATTCGGCTGAAGGATCCAGCTTCATGGCAAAGCGGCAGCTTGCACCCCTACCCTAAGCCCTAGAGCATAGCTGGACCCCCCAAAAATAGGTAAAATAATGGTCTAACACCTATAAAAAGCATTATTCTACATACTTGGGGGGTCCAGGTATACCCTAAACCCTGTAAACCCTAGACCCTTGACCCTAAATACCCTAAGCCCTTCGAGCCCCTTTCGGGAGGTTGACCCTTCAGAGCCCAGCTGAGGGATGAACACCTTTTCTCGCACAATCCTGCAACCCTAGGGTTTAGGGTTTAGGGTTTAGGGCCCATCCTTGACCTTGCCAATATGCGCTACGCTCTAAACTCCTTAAAGGGGGCCATATAAGGGAACCTATGGGGGATTACTACAGGGGGGTTGTTGGGTTACATAAGGTTACATTGGGGTTATAGAGTTATATTCGGTTATATTGAAATAATGGACAACAAAATGGAAACTACTATTCTATTTAGGGTTTAGGGTTTGCCCTATCGATGGCATGAACTCCAACCCTGCCCAAGGGCTCTAAGTTAATTGTAAAACTCCTACTTGGGGCCCTAAGATCTATCAATGGGGGGAAATCGTGGGATAACCTACTAGTCAGGGCTTAGGGTGTCGGGTTTAGGGCGACATTGGGCCCTAAAGTCATCCGATTTGGGTTTCGGAGGCCTTGGGTAAACCCTAAACCCTAAACCCTAAACCGTGTGGCTAGGGTCCCCTAAGTTGAACAACTCTGCATCCCCTCTGAGGAGGGTTTAGGGGTTTGGGGTTTAGGGTTCTCCTCGCCCCCAAAAATCATTAAGCAATTGGGGACGAACTTTGCCTCTGAAGCAGTGTTATAAACTTCCATTTCCCTATAGTCTAATACCTCATCCTCCTCAATTCACATTCCGCCTCGTTTTTCCAGTCTCACCCGCAGTCCCACCCTCAAACCCATCAGCTAGTTTGCAAGTGTCTCCAAGGCATACCTCCCTTTCGGAAAATAGCGGGCCCTTGCGGATATCTGGGCACTTGTAAAGGGATCAGGGGGGTCAGTATTTGCGACAAACTCCCCCGTTGTGTGTTGCTGCAATGCAGGCCTTGTGGTCAAGGAGCATTGCTGAGATGCCACCGCTGCTTGAGTAGAAAACTTCGTGGTACAGAGATGGGAGCTTTTTGAAAAAAAAGCTCCTACACCATCTCCTCAAAAGGGTCACATGATGCGCATATGATGTCATAGTCTAGGGTCCCCAAGATACTACTCCTGATATCTTGGGCAACCCCCAGATGGTAAGGGCTGGGTAGGAACTAGGAGTCGGACTCCAAAGCGTGGGGGAAGCAATATGGCGTCTAGCAGGTTCTTAAGTTTTCAAGGTTCAAAGCATCGTGGGAAATCATAAGCTAAGTGGGGTTGTTCCAAGATAAACTATTTATAGCTCGTTCAGTGCACCCGTATACCCACTTCTGATCACCCATGAACTGTCAGGTAGCACGTCCTAAAGCCAGGGTCATTCGACTAGCTCGTAACGCAGGACTGCCAAAACCTGCGTTCATGCAACATTTGTAATTCGGTTAGCAACCTAGACTTTGAAGCCACCCGTAAATAGTGAGTATGAGGTCTCCCAATTCGGGATGTTAAGGCCATACTACAAGGTAGACCCTCAACCCCAAACCGCAGATGAAGAGTCTTCCAAGA